TGGCGGTCAAACAAAGCAGGCGGTATTCTGCGGGGCTGTGCGGGGCTCTGCCGCCCCCTGGCGGTCGCAGCACGCCTGCAGGTCTGCTCCATGTTAGCAACTCGTTTTGTAGCCACATGCACATCAAAGCAGCCTGTGTGCACGCACATTAAAGATTTATGATGTTTCAGATCCGTGTTCACCTCCTGCAGGCGATACAACGAGACATTTTTTATTTGTGTGCATATTTTTAATCACCCTAATATTTTATTTCTCTGCACCAGTGATGTTGATTGCATTGTTTGACTTGGTGCAGGGATTTTTTATTTTTTTTTACTTGATTGGTTTTGTTTACCCACTTAGTGATTTTCAAAATGTCATTAAACAGATCAATAAATTCAAAGTTGTACGCACAGAACGATAAAAATAAGAACAATAAAGACCTTTAGTTCCTCTCTGAGTTTTAGCCCATGATCACCTTGTGATGAGAAGGGATGGAGTTATAGCCATTTTGGTTAAACTTTACAAATGATATGCACATTTCTTCATAATACTGCAAACTGTGAGTAAATGCTCAATGACCCACAGCTACAGTCATTTTGAGTTGACTGAGGTGAAGTAGTTGTGGAGACACTTGATTTGGGTTGACTCCATAGACTCCAGTGCTGTTGCAGAGTTGATTCCAACAGTTAATGCTAAAGATTTAGATAAAGATGGTTTACAAGGTCTCCGTCCTCTATTGATTGACTGAACTGAAAATTCTCCTGCTGACCTTTAAGTGCATGAATGGTCCTGCACCTCTTCATCTCTCTGACCTACTGGACCCATATGTTCCCTCATCTGACCAGCTGCTGCTTCTGTTCCAAAATCAGACTGAAGCTCTGAGGAGATCGGGCTTTTCTGTCGTGGGCCCTAAACTTTGGAACAATCTAAAGTTCAACTAAAGGGCCGATTTACATGAACGCTCCTACAAGCACCCTGCAGATGTTGGATGCTGCAGATGTTGGATGCTGTCTATCATGGTG